TAATGCGTTACAGCATCTATCTGGCTCTTTTTCTGCTATATTCTACTTAGATTAGTTTAAGTAAATCCTGTCAGCCGCGCCCAAGATAAACTGTATTTGGTGTTAATATTATATAAGCGAAAGCTTAAAAGATTAATTATTTTCTTATTTTATATCCTGCCATTATAGAAATTCAATCATCACAAAATTAAGGAATACATAATCTATACTATTATAATATAGTTTAAGACTTGATTTGTACTGGTTGGGACACTTATTGAAAAAGGCTATATCGCTGCGACTAAAAGGGGCGAAGAAATAGTGGGAAATATTGGAAAAGTAGTGAAAATTATTTATTCTTTAGTTTCCCAAAAAAATTGTCTGAAAGAACGACTCCTCTTTAAATAATTTAAAAATCTTAAAAGATAAACATACAGTGTATCTACGTATAACAATATAGTATACTAGCTGTGCTGTGCCCGCGACGCGTTCGCTTGAAATAGTGACTTGGGGTAGAATTTTTAAGTATTTAGGCGGTTTAATAATTTATGTAAGTGCTACTTTGCCGCAACACTCTCACCTCACATCACTCCCACTCCCACTCCTCTTCCCAAAAAGCCAAAGAAGAAAGTTTCATTGTTCTAGCTTCAAACCTTTTGTGCCTGATAATATTGCTAGATAACTCCTTTACTAAGATTGCATTAACTTAAAATATAACGCATAAATTTCCACAGATAACATCTATCGCGTTTTAAAAATTAATTTCCACTGCGTTCAAAAGCTATTCACTATCCAATATGGAGATTTAAGTTCATAAACGCAACTTTGTTACTTAATTATCGTATTTAAGAGGCCACAGTGGTAGGCCATAAACTGTCAAATTAAACTACGTGTTTATTTTAATTTATGTAATAAACTGCTTTTTTGCATTGCTACTGGCGAGGCCTGCTGTATAATTTAATTATCTTAATTTATGCGCTTCTGTCAGTTAAAAAATTAGCTCTCAATGTATATATAATTAGCTGTTCTGTATATGCGGTGCACAAAGAAAAAAGCACAAAACAGTGATTCTTATACGTTACAACTTGAACTCATTAAATAAGTATCGTTATTTAAATAAAAGAGTTTAACGGCTTAAAACGAGATATATTTCTAGTCGAACTTGTTTAAAAATTACTTTAACTATGGCCCGAGACGGTTCGGATGCTGAGCAGCCGTGACCACGTAAAAATTGTGTTCGGAATTTCGGATTCCCAAACAAAATGAAAACACCATGAAATAATTTAATAACTAATTTAACCCGGTAGGAACCGAACCCACGGCCCAATAAGTATATGCTGCACTTCACTACCATTGGAGTTGGACCCACCCGCCGAAACAATGAGACACGATATGGTTATATGAATAAATATAAAACTTAAATGGTACAGTGGGCTCGAGACCTGCCCGTGTCGTATTTTAAAAATTCAGAATCATTACTAATACTGTCTATAGTTTACGCGAGTAGTGCACGTTTAAATAAAACACTTTAACGGTTTAAAACGCGATATATTAGTTAAACTTATTTGATAATGATTTTTAACTTCGGCCCGACGTTTGGCTATGCTATGCCATGGCGTTTAAAACGCGTTTTAAACCGTTAAAGTGTTTTATTTAAATCGTTACCAATATTTATTTTAATAACACTTAGTGGTCAATAACATTAACCAAGATATATTTAAAATACAAGATCTTCTACAACATTGAAACACTGTTGTTTTTTGTTACACCAATAAATTCTTCTATACGAAGAACATTTAAATATTTTCTAGATGATAAAAATTAAATAGTAGTTTGTAGAAGCCATTATCTCACTATAAATGTCACAAACGGCCGCGGGGCGAATCCACAATATAAATTAGACAGACTCCACCATATAATTAACCTCTATAAACGAATAACAAATTAAATAATTTGTACCAACGCTGTTTGTTATAAAAAAGTACAGTCGTGAATAAAAACGTTTAAATGACTCTAATGAGCGCGCGGTGGCCATATTTGATTTAGGGAAGACGATTTTACGATCTGAAATCTGGCAACACATTTGAGGGTAGATATTTGTAGTAGTTTGCATCTGTTTGATTGATAAGTAAATCATGAGGACAGGTAAGCATGGCTGTCGACCTCTTTTGGCTTTGGATATTCGAAAATACGCAGACTAAAGCCGAAACATGATAATTACTTGGCTTTTATATAAATGATTAGAAAATTGTTGGAGCCGGTGAGGATCAAAGCCACGAGCCGTTGATTATTAAACGTACATTGCTAGCATTACACCAACGACCCGGTCAAACCATGTAAGGTTTAACCAAAGAGTCGCAGCGGTGATCAGGTAAAGTTGGAGATTGTATCCTTGAAATAGCAGCAGTAAAGCTATTCTTTCTAATATAGCTTATCATACTAGTCCTCTTAGCTTTATTATATTAAACTTATTATGTATTTATGGGGAATCAGGTTGTAATTCTAACATTATTATCATGGGCCTTTGACAGTTCACTGTTCCGACGTCCTTGGATATACGCCCTAAACTTGCTTTTAAATAAAACACTTTTAACGGTTTAAATAGTGAAATAGTTAATTTATTCTAACTAGGGCTGCTTCTAAATTAAGAATGACAGCTGCCAATTTTGTTTGCTAACTTTTCTTCATCATATCAATGTTCATATTGATAAATATTTGTAATTGGGACTCACCAAATAGGCTCTCAGTAATCCTATATTCCTATCAAGCACAAAGTACTGTCGCCCATCTCGAAAACGATCATAATACGATGTCTATGAATAATCTTCTTAAAATGATTAACGTAGCGGCATTGCTAAGTATGTTATGTTGTATTTAACACGGACCCGACATGTTTATTATTCAGTAGAGGCTTATTAAATTATTAGAGGTAAGCCGGCACGGTAGGCCGGGCATTTTGGCTTACCGTCGTGGCAGATTAGTTGACGGACAAAAACAAATCAGTGAGTGACATATTTATGTGACGGACGCGTGTTGCGCGCGACTGTACTCAGTAAATCTTAGGCTACGGGTTATGAGTTTTGTTATCCCGTTTAATGTTAGATGCCTTTTGATATATTCGCGATTAGTACGTATTAGGCAAATAATTTCCTTATGGGAGTCTGTAGTTTAATTTTTTCATTATGAAATTGAGTAAAATGACATTTGAAATATTCAAACATTTTTGATATTGAAGCAGTTTTTGTTTATTTGTTTTGCAAAATCCCCTGTTATCCCGAATTTTCGTATTATGAAAAAAAAAAAAAAAAAAAACGGTAAAAACGCGAAAAAAAAAATTTTCGTATTATATAAACAAAATCGGGCCGATTAAAATATTTTCAATAAGTTTAACTAAGTCTTAAACCGTTAAAGTGTTTTATTTAAATGTGTATATTGAGGAAACTATGAATAAGACAAATATTAAAATTCAAATTTGAGGAAAGCATTAAGTGTTTTAATACTTTTATAAAAAAGAAAACAGGAATTTACATTTTCTATTAACTGTATTAACGTACCTAATGACATAAACTTACTACGTGCAAGTCGAGTGTCCACTTAGTAATTTCTAGAAATATGAATGTAATGTTGCCATATGTAACTGTAAGTTTTAACGCCTTGGTAGGTCTCAGACATTAAAACTGGATTGTATCCAACAGAGACATAAAAAATAGCTTTTTAATATCTCTAAAAGCAGTCAGTCGTTGTAAAATGTTTCTGATAAGCGCAATAGCAATAACCGTCGGGCCTCGATACTGACGAAATGAATATTGTATTTTATGGAACAGATGGCCCGAAGTGGAACTGTGTACATTGGACCACCCAGCATAATTGCGGCCCCGCCTCTTACTTCGATTTTGGACGTCTTTAACGCCTCGCCCTACCATTTTGGATAAACGTATTCTTATGTAATTATATATTTGAAAATCGAATCCGCCGTTTACCACAGATTGAATACAATTTACTATCCACAGATAATGATTTGCTATCACGGTTAACGAATGATACGCACTTATTTCTATATATTGATATACAATGAAATCACGTCCATAGCTCAATGCATTTAGTGCAGACAGAGAAACATGTTATACGAAATCATATCATTTAGTGTTATTTAGTTAAAAGCCTCATCTTTTCAATTATTATTGTAAATATTAATCTACAAGGTTGCTTGGAAGAAATAGCTTAATTTATTTTAAGAGCATTTAAAGAAGAATCATTATATTATATATATATATTTAGTTTCAAGATGAATGTCAAAAATATTGGTCACAGTATGATGTATGAGCCTTTCTCAATAAATAGTCTATCGACACAAAAATATTTTTTTCATTTCGAACCAGTAGTTCCTGAGATTACAAAGCTCAAACAAACAAAAAAAAACAAACTCTTTAACTTTAAAATATTAGTATAGATTAGCAATGCACCCCAACGTATTATACACTCATATAATAAGTAAATTTGAGAGTTATTGAGACTAGTGCAGTCTTTTGGCTCTTTGTAGATCAAACAGGTTCATTAAGTCAATCGTCTTCGATAGGGCTTGATTTAATTATTTTTACTGGCAACCCCAGGTCTTGCTGTCTCATAAATAAAGTTTATTCGAATCACCAATTCCGTAGTTACGACAGTATGACAATATATTTTTGATTTTATTAAGACAATTTGAGACAAATGAAACTACTACAACGGATTGGAACGGGATAAAGTTATGGATGAGAATATCTATGTACGATTCGATTTTAATATTAAAAAAAATGCAAAAAACTGGCCCATAAAAGTAAGTTAGTTGTAGTATATAACATTACTAAAAGAACATATTAAAAGTATCTAAAATGTACATTATGACGGATTAAATCGCGAGGTATTTCTTTCTTACTATTTTACTTACAATTAAATTTTTTATATGGAATATTTACCTAACCACGTTTTTTGTAGTTCATGCGACATTATTTCGCAGTTCAAAATATTTGTGAACTACTCACCAATCTCCCCGCGTCATTGTTATGTACATTGATCTTCGCCTGCAGGTCATCCACCTGATCCCGCACGTCCAGAAACTTCTTCGAGAAATCGATGCCGTACCCGAGGTTGTGGGAGCACCCGCTCCATTCCCACTTGTTCACGCGAGCCCGCCCCCTGGCTTCGTAAACCCGGTACCCCAGCTGGTCGCAGCCACAGGAAAGCAGCCGGCCTTGCGCGCATGCGCGGGCTACAGCGTGGGCCACACCCGCCGCCGTCAGTGCGTACAGGAACGATGTCTCACGGAATCCTGAAAAACATGAATTTTAAAAACCAAACTGTGAAAGTCCGCTTTGGCCAAATGATCATAATACAACAAAAACCCCTCCTCCCTCAGAATTAAGAAATAAATGATTTAAATAAACTTTTACGGTTCAAAAAGCGATTTAGTTAAACTATTTAAAAATATTCTTGACTCTGACGGCTTCTAAAGTTCCGAAACGGCTGATCTTCAATATATTTCGCTTTCAACCGTCAAAAGGTGATCAAATGGGGTGTACTACTCGCGTAAACTACAGACAGAATTTGATATAAGTCTTGTTTTAATTTTATTAAATTTATACAACATTTTTTAGTAAATTGTTTAAAAGTTAGTGTTAAAATGAAATTCCTATGTAGAAATGGCGCTACACATACCTGTATCAATTTTATTATTAAATTTTTATTACAATTTTTTAAATCGATACATTGTCTTAGGGACTCGAATCCGGGACATTACCTTGGACAAAGTGTTGACTCATTGGTCGAAAAAAGAATATCTACTTTGAGTATTAATTATTAATCAGGATACATTGAAGCCCTCAGCCTTATAAAAAGGCAACGTCGTAAAAGCGATAATCTTGTAATGCCTATAATTAAAGGCTTTTATGCTTACAAGTACTCTTTTCTTTAATAATGTAAAACTTTACGAGACGCTCGTAGGAGCTCATTCTCACATTGCAATTAAAAAGTCGTATAATTTTCATTTAGACCCTCCTTATGACGATGTAATTTACGATTTTTATACCTTGCACGTCAAAATACGTAAATGGAATCGAATTAATACGATAAGATATTAAAAGTATTTGTTTATTTGAGAAGGTCACAGTTGTATTTAGTTTAGTGAGCTGTGATGTGTAGATCTTAAGATGTCTTGTGCTAAATAATTAACAAAGTAATATAAACTGTATTAAGTATATAGCAATTTGAATTTACGAATTCTATCAACGGGGTCGTTGGTCTAATTGTGTTAACGTAAGGCTAATAATCTTCCATCAAGTGACCACCATGTATATTTAACCTAAATCGTAAAAAAAGAAAAGCGTGTAAATGATGCATTGATATTATATAATAAAATAAAATAAAAACTCTTTACAAAGTGTGGTAATTCCATTTTTCGCGACTGTAAATGTGTAACTGTAAAACTCGTAGCGAAGCGTTATGTTAAGCACGCTTAAAGCCAGCAAAGTTCAAAGCCAGGCGAAAACAGAAAAAAGTTTGGCACATATAGCTACGAGTATGAAGACATTATCAACGATATACTCTTGATATGAAATGGACACAGAAATATATCCGCAACATGTCCCATATGGTATAGTGGATTTTACCTACAAATATCGATAGGTACTCATTTTGATTGAATGTCAAGTATTTAAATCGTATAGGTTAGCTCAAAAAATATATATTTAAACGTGTGTTTACTATCAAGACAAGAATTTCATAAGTGTGTCTTATAATCCCCTTTCAAACATCAATGGAATCATAACTCTAATACTAAATCTACCCCTAATCGCTATCTCAATTCAAAGCGAAACCAACCTCATATTTAATCCATGTCGCGGTATATCTTAACGTCAGACGCTCTGCCGCCAATAGAACAGAACGCGGAAAGTAAGATCAAACATTATCTATTTTATGCAATAAATTAAATCCCGGAGCGATCCGCAGATAGGCTTCGCGTACAATGTAATCTTTTTACCTTAAACAGAGCGGGGCATTTGCATTCAGTTATGCTCATTTATTTAATTGTTGCGTTAATAGCACGCCCGCCATTTCATTGTGAGTCAAAGCCAGCATGTTGGTATTGAAACGATTTTAAAAGCTCTAGTGTTTTAATAGGCAATTAAGGTTCTGTACAGACCACCTGCTCGATTCGATTCCTGGTTTTTATAGTCTTTACGGTTATCTGTAATTGATAAATGTGCGGAATTCTTTTCCTTATACTACAAGCAATATATTCTGCGGACAATCTTAAGTGTCTTGAAGTGTTTGGTTTAAATTGATATAAAAGCTTCGTCACATAGTTTGACTCAACAATGGAAACAATAATGTGGATGTGTTTTTAATAGATTTGTATAATAACAAAGCACTGTTGACATAATGATTTGACAGTGACGTTTCATTTTTGTTTCTTCCGCGCGATGACGCTTATAGCGTGATGATATAATCTGTGGCGATATTATGAAAAAACACTAGCTGTTTTTAAATTCGCTGTTTACAAAAAAAAGAATACTATTATTTACTGTTTATATGTGGTATATACTTGTATATTGTTATTTAATACAAAAATAAACCCAACTTTATATTATTATAACTACAGTGTTGTATGATCTTTAGTAAAAAAGAGAATTTTAATTACCTCAATGCATTTCGATGCTGATGAATCGATATAAGAATCGAATAAATTAATTTATTGTATCGAGTGATTAATACCATTGCGCGTTATCTGTGGATTAGAGGATAGCTGAGCAAGTCTAATTGACGGCGAGATACGCTTGATTAAAATTGAAGAGTTTTCTTTTGGAATGCTTACTAAGGGCGGTTTGACTTGTTTTTAAAGTAATGAAAACATTATTTGTATACTCTGTTCAGAGGAAAAAAATAAATTAACGACACGATCTTGTTTTATGTACTTTCCTAGTTGCTCACCCCGAAATAGACGTGTTTTATGATGATTATAATTCCCTTACCTAAATGCCTTAAATTTTATAAAGATTGTAATTGTTCTTTTAGGTTATAAAATAAATAATAGGTTGCTAAAAATAAATAAATAGGAACTTCCCCCCCCGGGGGGGGGGGGGGGGGGGGGGGGGCGGGCTTTGCAGGCCGTCCAACAGTATCTGAGGTACTGTTTGAGCTTATAAGCTCGCCAATTTTATGATAGAGAAGGAGAAACATGCCTATAAACATGGATTACTCAGCCATAAGATGCCCTGTCGACCCATATTGGATTTAGGCATTCTAAACTGTGTTTCAGGTGTAAAATTATTACTATTTGAATTACGCACAAATAGTAAAATACATTTATTATTCTCTCTATCTATTATGTTCTTTTCAAAAGTTTTTAAACGTACATCATTACTTCAATATCAAAAAGTCGTGTCGTATAAATCAAAACGTACAATACTTAGCGAGTGAGCATGAAAAATGTATTAGTTCGTAAAAGTGCTCAGTTCTAGGTCATCAAACTTGCGGCAAAAACTGGACAGCGCATGATTTAGGACGATTCAAGTACAATATAATGATAATCATTATAAATCAAGAGTTATCTTAGCCAATGATCTCTTGTCAAGTGAATTAATACTTCGCTATTGAAATGCGTTTTATATCTAACGACATTTTGGAGTTTGTTTAATCGCTACATTTAAATCAAAGTGTTTGGACTTAGAACATTTATTATTTTCAAAGATTTTTTTTTGCGGAAATCATGAACAGTTTCTTAGTATCGTGTATCCGTTTTAACTACTGTGTAGATACAATAATGTTTTGAGGTAGTAAATTAAAGCGTCAAAGCGTCGCGTTAAGTGCGAGAGGTCCAGGGTTTGAAAAAAATTGTTATATTAGGGCAAGGCACATAAGTCTGGTCAATTATGTAAGAAGGAGGGCATTGACACGAAAATAACACGCCCTATACCCTATATTGAAACGGTAAAAAAAAAAACTCGTTAGATAAAAACTTACTTCAATACCAACCAAATTCGCAACGTGGGAAGAATAGTGATACTAATTTATTTAAGTTTACTAATTTAATTTGTCTGGACAAAAAGTTAATATTTTCTAATACCTTAAAAAAATCGAAAGTAAATTGAAAAACATTTCGACTCGCACAGGGCTTGAACCGGCATCGTCAGCGTTCCGTGCTGTTGCTCTTACCATCGGTAGCTTAGTTGGTAAGCAACAGCATGGGACGCTGACTATGCCGGTTCAAGTCCTGTCCGAGTTAAATTTTTTTCAATTTATTTTAGATTATATAGTGCATATTCATGTGCAAAATATTAGAGTATTCAAACTTCATAATACCTTGTTATTAGCTTATTTTAAATAGCTATAAGGAGTACAATAGTGAATAACAAAAATGTGAAGATTCACTTTGACAGTAGGTTCGATTAAATACTGTCTATAGTTTACGCGAGTAGTACACATTTAAATAAAACACTTTAACGGTTTAAAACGCGATATATTAGTTAATTAATTAGTCTCCCCGTGACCACGGCTGCTGCAAAGCATCCGAAACGTCGGGCTGAAGTTAAAAATAATTTTCAAATAAGTTTAACTAATATATCGCGTTTTAAACCGTTAAAGTGTTTTATTTAGAAGTAGGTTCGATTGCAAAAATCGTACTTTATGAGTGGCTCTTACAGCGTTATCAATAAGATCGACTTCGTTCCGCAAGAATGTTACGGTGCACAGACTATATACGGCAATTATTGTTTATTTATAAGAGCAACCGCTTTTTCCGAGAGGCCTGTGACAAATTTATATTTGCTGATGTCTTGAAACGCGATAGTATCGATTCGAGCGATTTATGCCACGCTCGATTGATCGATTTCGATTCGAGTTATGGGTGAGTGGAACGAGTGTACTGTTATGGATGAATTTATATTATTAACGTTCTTTTGTTTGATTGTGTTAAGCGGGTACGATACTTTCAGGCTGATAAAGAGATTACGACGCGTTTATATTTAAACTAGCTGGGAAATATTATTTTGATTTAAAAAGCTTTTCAACGAAGTTCGATTCTCATAAAAACGCTCCCTGAGAGTTAATCTTAAAAGATAGACGTAGACCGACCGACCGACACATACCAACATTTTTTAGATCATTTAAAGAAGAATCAGAATTTTCACGTGTTTTCAATATTTCCCTCTCTTTCTTCGCTTCTATAGGTAGCTGATGTTTTATAGCCCAAAAATCTTCCTCGAAAAATGATCCCATTAACACAAAAACTACGCGTTCAAACAGACACAAAAATTCATCAGCTGTAAAACATTA